TACCCACGAAATTTCAGCTTCCTAGCTTCCATAGCTCGCGAGATAATAATTTTTCCCACCAAAAATTTTGCGAAGCTGTACGTGTTACCCGTGAGCACGGGAAAGCTGAATTTAAATTTGCAAGATCACAAGTGGGCGGGGAGCATTCCTCTAAAGTTTCAGCCACCTAGCTTTTGTGGTTCTCGAGTTGAAAGTCGCAGATAAGACGCGTCGGACACGGACATGAGCACGGGGACACACACACACACACACACACACACACACATACACACACATACACACACATACACACACATACATACATACATACATACACAGACAAACCCGTGATAATATGCATTTTGTGCAGCTTTTGCACAACATAAAATGCATAAAAGCAAATTGCCCAGTTGAGCATTTCTCGAGGTTTTACCAAAAGTGGTTGGTCCTTTCGCATTTGTTAAGAAAATCGGAAAAATCTTAGGTAACCCGATTGGGAAACACGTGCTAGCAATAGCTATCCACTGCTTCTAAACCTTTCAAACAAACCTGCGATAATGGAAATATTTTTCCCTCCTATTTTTTAGTGTAATTTTAATTTTAGATGATGTGTGTTTATGTAAAAAGTAAGAGTTTTTAGCTCATTTTTACTCCTTCAAATTCAACTTTTGAGCAGAATGTGTTACATACCCAACGGCAGCAATCTCAGTTCCAATATCGTTCTGCCCAGTAGCATCATTTCGTGCACCGCCCATTGTTGCTAAAAAATCAATGATACACAGACATTATTCAAGCAATTCTGGCAAGGTTATCACTCCCGCGAAGTAAAATAATCGGAATTACCAAAATCGCTAAGATTAAATGACTGAAAGCTTTCGGCCACGCTCAACCGGATCATCGATAGCAAGCCGACTCGAAAAACAGATGGGGGTTGTTCAATTTCGACAATTCCAATTTCAGCAAAATTCTACTGAAACCGATTTGCCACCCGTTAGATGGAAAGGGGATAAAGAAAGATAACAAGTGCCAAGAGTCAACATTTTGCAGCAATGCAATGCGAAAAACGCATATTGACGAGAGGTTGTCTGTGTGTCCGTGTGTCTGTGCGTCTGTCACGCACTTTCATCTCAGAACTTATAAAAGCTGCGGGGCTGAAATCTCGGGAACTTGATCTACATGCACGTACGTGCCGGCCCCAATCCCCAAAATGGGCGCCAAAACCCCCGTGGTACCCGCGTACGGGCCCCCAAAAGTTTTTTTGGGGTCAGTTCATAACTTGAGGATCTGAGAAGCTAGAAGACTGAAATCTTGGGGTAATGTTCCCCGCCCAAGCGGCTAATAGTAGGCTCAAACCCAGCCCCCGGGTAAGCGTGGTAGCCGCGTACGGGCCACCCAAAACTCTCCCGCGCAAATTCATAACTCGGGGACCTGAGAAGCTAAAAGGCTGAAATCTTAAGGTAAGCTTCCCGCCCAAGTGGGCTCAAACCCAGCCTTCGGGTAAGCGTGGTACCCCATACGGGCCGGCAAAAATTTTTTCGTGTAAACTGATAACTCAAGTACCTGAGAAACTAAAGGAATGGAATTTTAAGAGGATATACCCCGTCCACCTAAATTTCATTCAGCTCGACCCCAGCTCTCAGGTATGCTTGGTAAGCACGCACGGGCCCGTGAAAATTTTGTTCCAGTATGTTGCTAACTCAAGTGCCAGGGAAGCTAGAAAGTTGAAATTTTGAAGGGATGTTTTCTGACAGTTCTGGTGGCCAGTCTTAATTTGTTTAGCTAGAAGAATCTGCCGAAAAAACCGGTGCCGGTAGCAACAAAAACTGCGGGAAACCATGCAAAGAACGCATCTTCGCACGGGCAGCCCGTGCGTTGGCCAATTATTCGCATTGCATTGCTGCAAAAACCGCATAAAAATTGAAAAAAAAAAATCCCCAAAAATGACAGCGACCAGTATCGCAATTTGTGCATCAAACTTTACAAGGATATTCTGTGAGAAGCAACTTTATTTTCAGCTGCTACACCATATGATATCAATAATAATTGAATAATAAGAGGAAGCAACAGAAGCGCCCTACTGAAGTCACAATACATGGATGACGACCGCACATCGGGAGGCAATGAAAGTCATCATCTTCTGTCAGTACGAACGAAACAAATGGCCAAAAAATAAAACCAGAGAAGAAAGAAATACTCGTTTGGATGACTCTCACGGTAGAAGGAGAACTGGGATTGATATAACGGTGCTTCAGAGCAACACAACAGAAACAGCAGAGAGTGAGGAGCCCAGTTATTACAACAGGAAAAGGAAATGCATCACATAACCGCAATTATAGCAGGAAGGATGCCCCGTCCTTCCCGATATCAAAACAAAAAAATCAGGCTATGAACATTTCGAAAAAACCCTTTTCCTCTCCGTTTACCCATTCCATCGCGAGGCAGAGAGAACAGCACATCATTTTCACTTCGGAAAACCAAGGCCCTCTCTCTTCTCACCGAATATATTAAAGGCTGTAACCCCCCTTCCTCGCCCTTTAAGACTATATAAGTTTTAGCCAAGACCACTAAAAAAACACTTCGAGACAACCTTTTTTTCTCTTTAACTAATTCATTTTGAAAAAGAGCCAAATCCAGTTATCAGTAAGCCACAAAGTTAAATTTCTAAGAAGCTATTAACGGCACGCTACCTTCCATTAACAAAAAGCACCTGAGCCTCGAAAATCCAATTTTTACCATTACGCGAAAATCAATTATCGCCCAAAAATTTGAGATTCTTCATTTGCAGAAAAATGAAGGTGGGCAGCAAAGGGTATGCAGAAAGGACAAGAGAGAGAGAGGGAAGAGCTATGAAGCAAAAGCATGAAAAGACTGGCGCCAGAGTGTCTCAAAACTCAAAAAAGACGCCTGTGGCTTGAAGTGAAGAAACACTGCTTATGTATAAAAACAGGTAAACAAAAAAAAAAATATCGCAGTTGCCGTAAATAACCGGGAAAAAGGGGAACAATATGAAATCAGTAGGCAAATTTAAATTAGTATTATGATCCGGCTGGTTGTTCACTCTCAGCTAACTCAGCTGGTAGCGGGCTTTTCGGATGCTTCGACTCGAAATGTTCTCTGTAGCTCCTTTTGTCCATCATTTGGGCCTAAAAAAAAATACATAATTCGGTCTGCTTCCTAAACCAATTGCGACAAAACTATGAAAAACAGAAACTGTAACCAGTCGTTTCAAAACGCATCAATTTCGCTATGAGCGAGAATTACGTGTTTACATCTTGGGGTCCGTGAAACTTTTTTTCGGGTAAGTTGCTAACTCGGGAGCCTGGAAAGCTAGGAAGCTAAATTTTTAAGGGGGTGTTTCCTGGAAGTTCTGGCGGCCAGTCTTGATTTGTTTAGCTAGAAACATTTGCCCAAGCGCTTTTAAATCCGCAGTGATACTCTTGATAACTCCTATGTGATTAATCCTAACTCCCTCACCCACTGTGTTGCGAAGTACGGCTGGGATCGCTGTAAACTAATTGCTCGATCAAGAGAGTAACTGTGAATCAAGTAGATTTGGAACTTCCTAGCGGAAACGATGAAGGAAAGCAAGGGCACCAACGTCAGCATGATCAACAAGTTGGCCATCACATAATGGCGATGATGCATCAGCAGTTTTGGTCAATAAACAGCCAGCCGGTTCATAATCCCTAACTTCGTGTCATATAGATGTGGCGAGTTCGATTTTACATCATTACCGGGAGCCTTTCGATTTTTTGGAAATCTACAAATTTTATCGCGCTAACAAGTACAAAATTTTGCTGTTTGATGCCAAAAATTATAGCTGTTCGGGTGACGAATTGCGGAGCCGGCACATCCGTATAATTTCCAGCAAATTATCTTTATGGCAGATTTCGTTGATATGATTGCCATTCCCAGGCTTAATCACAGCCACATGAGGCAGCAATAACTCTCCCCTGTCGTCCCTCAGCTTCTGCTTCCTTTGAACCGTTTTGGAGAACAACTCATGTGCAAACAAACGTGCATTAGCGTGTTTGCATACGTACGAAATAGCCCCCAAAACTATAGGCAGATCCTGAGCGACTTCCTAAAGGAGGGGAGGAGGGGAGAGGGAAAGGTGTGGGACTCTTGGCAGCGATGACTGAGGGAGAGGGAGGGCTTGTGACCTAATGACGACTGAGGAGATGTGTCTACTGGTGCGGCAACGAGTAGAAGGTAACGGAGGAGACAGGAGGAATGGGGAGGGAGTGGGAAGAGTGCGGAAGAGTCTTCTCCAATTTTAGCTTTTTTTTAGCTTTAAACCCAGACTTTTCTAACACTGGTGCCTGTCTCACTGAGGGAGGGAGAGGAAATCCGCTTGTGCCCATAAAATATATCAAATATTGATTACTGACTGCTACTTCGTTTTTTCTCAAAAACCAACATTTGAACATATTGACTTATTCCAAACCACCAAAACACTTACCATGCATACAGTGCATTTATAGATGAGGGATTTGAGACAGGCGCCTTTTTGATCATGTCCAACAGACTTCTTCAGCGCCTCCTGCTTTTTCATATTCTTGGCCTTTGCCTGCATCTTCATATGACCACGCGTCATCTTCGATAATGCACGTAAACTATCCGAGTATCAAACAGAAACTAGAAATAACAAAAAAAAATTAATACCTTGTAAGCGCAAAAAACCTTCATTTTATGCTAAAAACTGACCAAACTTGAACAGCAACCCCCTACTCCTCCTTCGAACTCAGTCCTCAAAGTGAGTTCAACTAACTTATATTCAGGAAGCGTCCCCCCCCCCCCCCCCTCCCGGCCCCTCCCCTTCCGAACCTGAATTAACTGACCTAACTGCAAAAATGAGCCATCTCTTCGGAATCCCTTTGGACTGGTCCTTTCTCTTCCGCAATGTTACACTCCCTGTAATATAGCACCAATCTGCTAGGAAGGGGACAAAAAGATTCGTCTCAACCCACAACTTATAATTCGTCCCAACCCACAACTTATACTTTCGGAAACAAAACGACGAAACCACGAATGCAACTCAACACCACTTACTCCAATTCATCCTTTACTTACATTTGCAGAAGCTGTGAAATAAATTAAGATATTATATCGGTCGCAAAAAAATGCCAAGAAGAACGGCGACGTAAGAGAACATTTTAAAAGAGTTTATCAGTAGAATATTTATACAGGGTAAGGAATCTTTGTATAGCGCAGTGAAAAATGACAGGGAAACCACAGCCACAATTGCACCACAGGCACCACTGGAGTGCCAATTGGAATAAAAACCGGAAAAAATAATGCGATAAAATGTGAGACAATTTGTTATTAAAAATAGCAGTTAAATAAATACACGTAGCTTCTTTTTTTCCAAAAAAAAAAAGAGAGCTTGAAACGTGGTATTTGCGATTTAGTTCATCGTAAGTGAGCAATATCAGAATCAAAATAAATCACAGTTGCAAAATGCCAGTATGATGGAGGAACGCCCAATTTCTGCTCAAGCCTGCACATCGACCAATTCGGCTGGTAGTGGAGCTTTCGGATGTTTCGATTCGAAATGTTGTTTATAGGTTTTTGGGTCCGGCATCTGAGCCTAAAAATATTGTTTCAGCACTAATGAAAAGCCGTTATCAAGAGTGGAGCGGCACATGAAATCCAGGCGTGCATGAAGGCTGAATTGAATTCTGCGTAGTCGCATTCCCCAAAAATTTCAACTTTCTGTCTTTTATGGTTGACGAGACAATAATTTTTCCTGCCGAAACTTTCACGGGGCGTAACTGAAACCCAGGCTTGACTGAAAACTGATTTTGAATTTACGAAGTTCATAGGCAAATCTAGAGTACGTGAAAGCTGAATCCAAATTGGCGGGGATCGTACATTGACAGGGAACATCACCCTAAAATCTCAGATTCCCAAGTTTCCTGGTCTCCGAAACAATAGAATTCCCCCGGCCGAAACTTTCACGGGAACGTAGGTGATACCTGAGCGCGCTGGGATTGATTTTAAACTTGCACAATTGTATATGGGCGAAGCATTCTACCGTAAAATCTCAGCTTCTTGGCTTTTACAGTCCCGGAGGTTACCACAATCGTCGTACTGACGAGGTCCAATTGTGGTAACGGTAAGAAATGTATACGACTTAATGGACCGAAACATTTATTACCTATAAGAAATATTTGTTTATACCCCTTACTTATTTTAATATCCTTTTTCTTTCCTTCCTTGTTTTTTTTCTCCTGATATTTTCTTTTTTAACCTTTAATAAAAATTTCCCCGTCAAATTTTCCACAGGGCCGTAGGTGATACTCGAGAGCGCGGGGACGCCGAATTTGAATATGCAAGGTCGTGCGTGGGCAGAGGTCCAAAACTTCAGCTTCTTAGCTTTCGTGGCTCCCGAGATAATAATTTCCCCCGCCAAAAATTTCACAGGGCCACAAGTGTTACCCCCGGGAACGGGAAGGCTGAATTTGAATTTGCGGACAGCACTCTCACACGTTGGCGGATAACACTCTACTAAAATTTCAGCCGCCCAACTTTTACGACCCCAAGATGAAAGTGCGGGACAAAATCTCGCGCGCACACGCACACACACACACACGCACACACACGCACACACACATACACGCACACACACACACGCACACACAAACATACACACAACCGCGCGACAACATGTATTTTGTGCTGCTGTTACACAGCGGAAAACGCATATAAAAAACGAAAATGCAAATGCAGAAGTTAAATGAACGTGAATTAACCATGCAAACTGTGCACTTGTGGGTGAGTGCTTTCTGCGCTGCTGCTTTCTGATCGCTACCTTTCGATTTTTTCATCTCTTCCTGCTTTTTCAGGTTCCTC